TGGATGTTCATGTCTGACGAATCTATTGGTGGTTCGCGAAAGTTGGGCAGATGCAGTGGATAACGGCCACGTACTGGAGGAACATTTCGTCGACTTTTCGAAGGCATTTTCCAAGCTACGTCATTGGAGACTCGTGCAAACACTGACCTCCTACAGGGTAGCTGGCCGCGCCCTTCATTGGATGACTGCATTCTTGGACGGTAGAGAACAGTGTGTAGGGTATGCCGTGGCCTATCCTTTAGGCAGCCTGTTCTCAGTGACGTGCTGCAAGGCTCGGTCGTTGGACCGCTGCTGTTCTCTATTTATGTGATTGACCTACCCGCCGAGCTTTTGGTACCATCGCTGCTATTTGCTGATGACCTAAAGATGTGCAACGTTGTTGATGTTCCTGTGGGTTCCGAAGCTATTCAGCGAACCTGACATAAGCTTTGGGACCGGTCCACTTAATGGTTACAGCTCATAATTCAGGTAAAGAGCTCCGTTCTTCGAATTAGAGGAGGTTGTCCTCCTGCAAACTGCTTGGTCCGTGGGGTGGAACTCCCCTGTGTATCTAGCCTCGTTGATCTAGGTGTCCTCCACTCTTCGGCTTTACATTCCAGCGACAACTGAAAGAAGACGGCAAGCAGTGGCTTCCGCATGCTGTGGTTAATACGCCTTTCTTTCGGAATCTTGACGGGCAGCATCTTTACGAGACTGATCTCGGCTTTCGTTCGGCCTCATCTGGAATACTTTGTCCAGGCTTGTCCGCTCTGCCTTGTCAGGAACAAAATGGAGCAAGATAGGGTTTTACGGGGTGGTACCAGGTTACTTGAGGGATTACGGGGACGGACCGTACCCCGTACCTAATACGTAGTACCACTAAGCATGTAACGCACGCTTCCGAGACACGTAATCCCAGCAAGCAGAAGACGTCTAAACAGCAGGAGGTTTATCAATCAATTGAGGAAGGTACAAGACTCACGGAACTCGCGTTGCGAGACCGGGGGTGTGTGTCTGATGATTGGCTGGCTGGTGTGTGTTAACCAATCCACGCACGGCTGAGTAAACGGATCGAAGTCATTCGCGTACGTGACATCCCCTCATCTCTTGAAATGTTTATACTCCTGGCACGAACCGGTCAACGGGTTTATGCGTACGCTGAGATCTGCGAAGCGTTGGTGCATCTGACGATTGTACAGAATCCTGGGGGTTTGCTTCCGTTTCCGGCTGAACGGATGCTGATTCACCCAGACGTTCATCTGCTGTTGTCCCAACAAAACGTGAGCGTATATGGTCTGAGTGTCGCCGTACTATTCGACCATTTAATTCAAGATCTGCTTGGGTACAGTCACCTTTAATTACAGTTGCGGGTTGCCAGCAGTGCTCATGGGGAAGTCTTGTGTATACGGGATCACCCGGCTGCCAACTAGAGTCGTGGTTATTTTGCGATGCGGCAGCCTTGTCTTGTTTCTTCTCCATTTGTGCTCTATGATTTGGAAACAGAAGATCCAGTCTGGTACGGAGTGTTCTGCCAAACATCATCTCCGCGGGTGATTTACCAGTGGCTTCCGAGGGCGTTATCCTGTAAGCAAATAGCAAGCGATCTAACCTCGTCTGAACAGTTCCTGGTGCTTGTTTCGAGAGACCTCTTTTAATTGTCTGCACCGCCCTTTCCGCTAGCCCATTAGAAGCAGGGTGATATGGAGCTGTACGGACATGCTGGACACCATTGCTATTCATGAAGATTTCAAATTCTTTGCTAGTGAAACATGGCCCATTGTCTGTGCAGAGTGTCTCCGGTATCCCAAATATTGCAAATGACGACCGCATTTTGGAGATAGTTGTCTCTGTAGTAGGGTGGGCAACGGGATAAACATCTATCCATTTCGAATGAGCGTCAATTAGCAGCAGGAAAAATACACCATTAATGGGTCCAAAGTAATCCGCATGGATGCGCTGCCATGGCTTTTCAGGCCAACGCCAATGGTGTACCGGACCGGGAGGTTTATTTGACTGATACTGCTGACACAAACCACATGTTTTTAGATAGTTCTCTATCTCTGTATCTAGGCCAGGCCACCAGCAATAACCGCGCGCCAAGGCTTTCATTCGGGCTACGCCTGGATGTGCGTTGTGGAGTTCCTTTATGATGAACGGCCGTGCCTTTAGCGGTGGAATCAGGCGGGATCCCCAAAACAAGCATCCATCGTGAAGGCTCAATTCATTTTTCCGTTGTGCGTAAGGTTTAAGATCGACGGGAACTGTAGTAGGCCAGCCGGTTTTTGTAAATCGCACTATAGAAGATAGCGTTGGGTCACGATCGGTCCACTGACGTATGGTGTCACCTGTCAATGGAGTGGTGTCGAGGTGTTGCATTAGATTTACAAGCTCTACTGGTTCCTCCAGTATTTCGTCTGGGGTCGCATGTGGTAACCTGCTTAATGCATCCGCTGTATGATTGTTCAACCCAGGAATATACGAGATTCGATATTTATATGCACTTAATATTAATGCCCAGCGTTGCATTCTCGGTGAAAACATCTGCTCGATTCCCTTTGACTCGCTCAGCAAGGATATCAGTGGTTTGTGGTCAGTTTGTATTTCGAAATAGTTTCCCCAAATGTACTGATGAAACCTCTTGACGCCAAATATAACTGACAGGGCTTCTTTATCCAGCTGGGAGTAATTCTTTTCGGCGGGTTGTAAAGTTCGTGAAGCAAATGCAATCGGGTGAATGATACCATTGGACATTTTGTGGCATAGAACTGCTCCGACTCCGTATGGAGAGGCGTCACATTGTAAGATTAACGGTTTTTCACTATCGTAATGGACCAAAACAGGTGCGGAAGCAAGACACTTCTTTGCACAAGTAAAAGCAGATTGATGCTCACTTTTCCACATCCACGGGATGTTTTTGTGTAACAGTTCGTTTAATGGAGCAAGAATGGTCGAGGCATCAGGTAGGAAACGACGATAGTGGGACAACATTCCTAGGAATGATCGTAGTTCATCGCTATTCTTGGGCTGAGGTGCCTGCACAATAGGCGCTATCTTATCTTGCAGGACATGCAAACCGGTTTTGTCCAGTTTGTAACCAAGGTAACAAACAGAATCGGATAAGAACTCACATTTGGACTTTTTAATTTTAACCCACACTCTTCCAGACGCAGGAGAACAGTTCGCAATGTGTTTAGGTGATCAGAGTCACTGCGACCAGTAACAAGGATATCGTCCAAGTATGCACAGGTGAACGGTATATCTTTAACTATATTATCCACTATACGTTGGAAAATGCTGGGTGCTGAATTTATTCCAAACGGGAGACGCGTGTACTGGAATAGTCCGAGGTGGGTAGTTATTGTGGTCAGTTCCTGTGACTCATCATCAAGTTCGACCTGAGAGTATGCGTGACTGAGATCTAGCTTGGAAAACTTTTGGCCGCCGGCTAAAGTCGCGTACAAGTCTTCAATACGTGGTAGGGGATATTTTTCCACTTTCGACGCTTGGTTGACTGTCAACTTGTAGTCTCCGCAAATACGGACGGAGCCGTCAGGTTTGAGTACAGGTACAATGGGAGTGCCCCAATCTGAATGTTGCACCGGGACTATGACTCCTTCTGATTGCAGACGTTGTATCTCTGCCTCAACTTTAGGGCGCATTGCATAAGGTAATGATCTAGCTTTGTAAAATTTTGGTTCGGCACCCTCTCGGAGTTTGATAGAAGCCTTGAAATGACGCATTTTTCCCAGTTTATTTTCAAACAACGATGAGAACTCGTTCAATAATCCATTCAAACTGCCGTCTTCAACAGTGAGTTGGTTGAGTTGCATGGTCTCGGGAAAGAACTGTATCCAGTCTCGACCCATGAGATTCGGTTTGTTCCCAGGTACAACGATTAAGGGCAGGGTGAATTCTCGCTCCCCGTGCCTGGCTTTAACGAAACATCTGCCCAACACCTGAATTGGATCACCTGTGTACGTCTGTAATCTCGAGTTGCACGGTAGCAAAGGTGGTAGCTTTTTCATTGAACCGCGGTTTACAATGGTGACCGCCGCCCCAGTATCTAGCTCCATGTCTACCGGTTCATCCTCTATCATCAAACGTATTGTATAAGGAGGACAGTTTTTGTGTGTCACACTCTTCAAGTACACGGAGTTAAGCTCACTGTTCAAATTTTTTAGGACATTATCTTCCCGTAGCTCTATCTTGCTTTGACGATTTGATGAGGCGATGTTCGTGGGGCGGGAACTTTCCGATCTACAGACGCGTGCTAGATGACCTATCTTGCCACATTTCCGACAGATACTTTCTTTGTGCCGGCAATCGGAAGCGTGAGAATGCCGCAAACCGCAACGATAACACACAAATTGTTTTCGATTTTCACTGCTGTCTGATTTACGGACCGCCTGCACATCATCAGCTACCGGCCGACCGGTGAACTCGCGTAATTGGTGTGTAATGTTCTCACGTTGGCGAACGATGAGACAAACGTTTTCCCACGTGGTGGCCGACTCATCCAAGGATAGCAACTTCTCTCTAGCACTTTCGTCCGATATTCCCGCAATCAAACATTGAATTTTCATTTGCTCTTCAATTTTTCCAGGTGGAATATCATTATACTTACAATCAGGAATGGATTGGTGAATATGTGCAATAAAATCATTGACGCTTTCGTTCGGCTTTTGGACAAGTTTTGAAAAGCAGTATCTAGCAGTGTAAACATTTTGTTTCAGCCCCCATAACGTGGTATAAGTATCCAAAGCAGAACTGAGGGTGGCATAATTTTCCAGTTGTAGGGCATCGTAGTGCCTTTGACCTTCATCGCCAAGCACTTGCCTGAATAGTGTGATTTTGTGAGCCTCAGAAAGACAAACGGTCGGATTCAGTACAGGAAGTAATTCCACGTAGTTAGTAAATGATTTTCTCCATCTTATCCAGTTCGATAAGGTCGGTTTTTCCTCAGCAGATGACCAAAATATAGGAGGTGTATTCAACATTGGGTTCGTCATTTTCGTCGCCACTAATACGTAGTACCACTAAGCATGTAACGCACGCTTCCGAGACACGTAATCCCAGCAAGCAGAAGACGTCTAAACAGCAGGAGGTTTATCAATCAATTGAGGAAGGTACAAGACTCACGGAACTCGCGTTGCGAGACCGGGGGTGTGTGTCTGATGATTGGCTGGCTGTGTGTGTGGTAACCAATCCACGCACGGCTGAGTAAACGGATCGAAGTCATTCGCGTACGTGACATCCCCTCATCTCTTGAAATGTTTATACTCCTGGCACGAACCGGTCAACGGGTTTATGCGTACGCTGAGATCTGCGAAGCGTTGGTTCATCTGACGATTGTACAGAATCCTGGGGGTTTGCTTCCGTTTCCGGCTGAACGGTTGCTGATTCACCCAGACGTTCATCTGCTGTTGTCCCAACAAAACGTGATCGTATATGGTCCGAGTGTCGCCGTACTATTCGACCATTTAATTCAAGATCTGCTTGGGTACAGTCACCTTTAATTACAGTTGCGGGTTGCCAGCAGTGCTCATGGGGAAGTCTTGTGTATACGGGATCACCCGGCTGCCAACTAGAGTCGTGGTTATTTTGCGATGCGGCAGCCTTGTCTTGTTTCTTCTCCATTTGTGCTCTATGATTTGGAAACAGAAGATCCAGTCTGGTACGGAGTGTTCTGCCAAACATCATCTCCGCGGGTGATTTACCAGTGGCTTCCGAGGGCGTTATCCTGTAAGCAAACAGCAAGCGATCTAACCTCGTCTGAACAGTTCCTGGTGCTTGTTTCGAGAGACCTCTTTTAATTGTCTGCACCGCCCTTTCCGCTAGCCCATTAGAAGCAGGGTGATATGGAGCTGTACGGACATGCTGGACACCATTGCTATTCATGAAGATTTCAAATTCTTTGCTAGTGAAACATGGCCCATTGTCTGTGCAGAGTGTCTCCGGTATCCCAAATATTGCAAATGACGACCGCATTTTGGAGATAGTTGTCTCTGTAGTAGGGTGGGCAACGGGATAAACATCTATCCATTTCGAATGAGCGTCAATTAGCAGCAGGAAGAATACACCATTAATGGGTCCAAAGTAATCCGCATGGATGCGCTGCCATGGCTTTTCAGGCCAACGCCAATGGTGTACCGGACCGGGAGGTTTATTTGACTGATACTGCTGACACAAACCACATGTTTTTAGATAGTTCTCTATCTCTGTATCTAGGCCAGGCCACCAGCAATAACCGCGCGCCAAGGCTTTCATTCGGGCTACGCCTGGATGTGCGTTGTGGAGTTCCTTTATGATGAACGGCCGTGCCTTTAGCGGTGGAATCAGGCGCGATCCCCAAAACAAGCATCCATCGTGAAGGCTCAATTCATTTTTCCGTTGTGCGTAAGGTTTAAGATCGACGGGAACTGTAGTAGGCCAGCCGGTTTTTGTAAATCGCACTATAGAAGATAGCGTTGGGTCACGATCGGTCCACTGACGTATGGTGTCACCTGTCAATGGAGTGGTGTCGAGGTGTTGCATTAGATTTACAAGCTCTACTGGTTCCTCCAGTATTTCGTCTGGGGTCGCATGTGGTAACCTGCTTAATGCATCCGCTGTATGATTGTTCAACCCAGGAATATACGAGATTCGATATTTATATGCACTTAATATTAATGCCCAGCGTTGCATTCTCGGTGAAAACATCTGCTCGATTCCCTTTGACTCGCTCAGCAAAGATATCAGTGGTTTGTGGTCAGTTTGTATTTCGAAATAGTTCCCCCAAATGTACTGATGAAACCTCTTGACGCCAAATATAACTGACAGGGCTTCTTTATCCAGCTGGGAGTAATTCTTTTCGGCGGGTTGTAAAGTTCGTGAAGCAAATGCAATCGGGTGAATGATACCATTGGACATTTTGTGGCATAGAACTGCTCCGACTCCGTATGGAGAGGCGTCACATTGTAAGATTAACGGTTTTTCACTATCGTAATGGACCAAAACAGGTGCGGAAGCAAGACACTTCTTTGCACAAGTAAAAGCAGATTGATGCTCACTTTTCCACATCCACGGGATGTTTTTGTGTAACAGTTCGTTTAATGGAGCAAGAATGGTCGAGGCATCAGGTAGGAAACGACGATAGTGGGACAGCATTCCCAGGAATGATCGTAGTTCATCGCTATTCTTGGGCTGAGGTGCCTGCACAATAGGCGCTATCTTATCTTGCAGGACATGCAAACCGGTTTTGTCCAGTTTGTAACCAAGGTAACAAACAGAATCGGATAAGAACTCACATTTGGACTTTTTTAATTTTAACCCACACTCTTCCAGACGCAGGAGAACAGTTCGCAATGTGTTTAGGTGATCAGAGTCACTGCGACCAGTAACAAGGATATCGTCCAAGTATGCACAGGTGAACGGTATATCTTTAACTATATTATCCACTATACGTTGGAAAATGCTGGGTGCTGAATTTATTCCAAACGGGAGACGCGTGTACTGGAATAGTCCGAGGTGGGTAGTTATTGTGGTCAGTTCCTGTGACTCATCATCAAGTTCGACCTGAGAGTATGCGTGACTGAGATCTAGCTTGGAAAACTTTTGGCCGCCGGCTAAAGTCGCGTACAAGTCTTCAATACGTGGTAGGGGATATTTTTCCACTTTCGACGCTTGGTTGACTGTCAACTTGTAGTCTCCGCAAATACGGACGGAGCCGTCAGGTTTGAGTACAGGTACAATGGGAGTGCCCCAATCCGAATGTTGCACCGGAACTATGACTCCTTCTGATTGCAGACGTTGTATCTCTGCCTCAACTTTAGGGCGCATTGCATAAGGTAATGATCTAGCTTTGTAAAATTTTGGTTCGGCACCCTCTCGGAGTTTGATAGAAGCCTTGAAATGACGCATTTTTCCCAGTTTATTTTCAAACAACGATGAGAACTCGTTCAATAATCCATTCAAACTGCCGTCTTCAACAGTGAGTTGGTTGAGTTGCATGGTCTCGGGAAAGAACTGTATCCAGTCTCGACCCATGAGATTCGGTTTGTTCCCAGGTACAACGATTAAGGGCAGGGTGAATTCTCGCTCCCCGTGCCTGGCTTTAACGAAACATCTGCCCAACACCTGAATTGGATCACCTGTGTACGTCTGTAATCTCGAGTTGCACGGTAGCAAAGGTGGTAGCTTTTTCATTGAACCGCGGTTTACAATGGTGACCGCCGCCCCAGTATCTAGCTCCATGTCTACCGGTTCATCCTCTATCATCAAACGTATTGTATAAGGAGGACAGTTTTTGTGTGTCACACTGTTCAAGTACACGGAGTTAAGCTCACTGTTCAAATTTTTTAGGACATTATCTTCCCGTAGCTCTATCTTGCTTTGACGATTTGATGAGGCGATGTTCGTGGGGCGGGAACTTTCCGATCTACAGACGCGTGCTAGATGACCTATCTTGCCACATTTCCGACAGATACTTTCTTTGTGCCGGCATTCGGAAGCGTGAGAATGCCGCAAACCGCAACGATAACACACAAATTGTTTTCGATTTTCACTGCTGTCTGATTTACGGACCGCCTGCACATCATCAGCTACCGGCCGACCGGTGAACTCGCGTAATTGGTGTGTAATGTTCTCACGTTGGCGAACGATGAGACAAACGTTTTCCCACGTGTTGGCGGACTCATCCAAGGATAACAATTTCTCTCTAGCACTTTCGTCCGATATTCCCGCAATCAAACATTGAATTTTCATTTGCTCTTCAATTTTTCCAGGTGGAATATCATTATACTTACAATCAGGAATGGATTGGTGAATATGTGCAATAAAATCATTGACGCTTTCGTTCGGCTTCTGGACAAGTTTTGAAAAGCAGTATCTAGCAGTGTAAACATTTTGTTTCAGCCCCCATAACGTGGTATAAGTATCTAAATCAGAACTGAGGGTGGCATAATTTTCCAGTTGTAGGGCGTCGTAGTGCCTTTGACCTTCATCGCCAAGCACTTGCCTGAATAGTGTGATTTTGTGAGCCTCAGAAAGACAAACGGTCGGATTCAGTACAGGAAGTAATTCCACATAGTTAGTAAATGATTTTCTCCATCTTATCCAGTTCGATAAGGTCGGTTTTTCCTCAGCAGATGACCAAAATATAGGACGTGTATTCAACATTGGGTTCGTCATTTTCGTCGCCACTAATACGTAGTACCACTAAGCATGTAACGAACACTTCCGAGACACGTAATCCCAGCAAGCAGAAGACGTCTAAACAGCAGGAGGTTTATCAATCAATTGAGGAAGGTACAAGACTCACGGAACTCGCGTTGCGAGACCGGGGGTGTGTGTCTGATGATTGGCTGGCTGTTGTGTGTGGTAACCAATCCACGCACGGCTGAGTAAACGGATCGAAGTCATTCGCGTACGTGACAGTACCGTTTGGGAATGCATTCAATGCATTACCGAAGGCTTAGAGGAGAACCAATCCTAACCTACCGTATCTTAACTGGGTAGGTTGGTCCAGATTTACCTTGGATATTCAGTCCTGCTAGATTGTCTGTTCTACGTGGTCATTCGTTTAGACTGAACAAACTGCGGTCGGATCGGATTAGGGCGGAAATCCGGCTGTCACGCCAAGTCATCGAGCGCTGGAACATGCCTCCGGAAAGTGTTATCAGGAAACCTACGGGCAAGGGATTTGAGCAGCAACTTGACGCCTTTGGGTGGCAACACGAAACGTTACCCTTTTCCTGACTAACTCACAGCGTTATACTTCGATTTGCTTCTCTACTTTTCTTCATGCATTGGTATTATTTTCTTATTTCAAGTGCACTTCCTTTTTCTGTAACTTCGATTTCTCTTCCTATCATTGCTTTACTTCACGTGACTGCCACAGCAGGGACTGCTAGGGTAGGAAACTTGGGCATTAACTAATTGGCCAGGGTACGACTCGGGTGTTTCGTTTTAGATCCATCAATAACCCTGAGCAGTTTTTTAATTCCTGGCTCAACGATCCACTCAAGATTGAACACTCACGGGATTCTCCTATCGCGCGCGTCCCACCCGAACTCGAACTTGAACTTACGGCAAATCATGTACCCCGATAATAGAGCTTCTATTTCGCTTTCGTTCAGCTGAACAGAGTGGATGTTATATACAAGTCTTTGTTAAACATCCTAGTACTCGCCATGGTCAGGTCCCCAAAATATCAATAATGGAACAATGGTGTATTACGGGTAAAAAAAGCAATGCTTAACGAGTCCCGTGGGATGGAAATTATTGCGAAAAGTAACTTGCATGATAAAGTGAAAAGCGTTTTGGTAGACTCACCATAGACTTTTGTAGCATAGCAAGGATGTTCGAGTATTAAAAGTACAAATCCATAAATCCATTAGTTAGGAGTTTGACAAGACACCGTTTGATTGCGTTTTGGAGTCCCTGGCTAGCAATTCATAAAATGAAATGCACATGAGACAACGCGTCGTCAGTTCGTTTTTTAAATACCGACAGATTGCTAGCATAGATGACATTAATAGGGAGTGCGTTCCAACGCAGACACGCGCAGAGGAAATAGAAATTTCTACGGCATTCAAGCCGGCTGTACTGTATTTTCAGTTTCAGAGGATGACCTCTTAGGTTAGTTTTGTGGTTCAATTCCAGCAGCGGACGGTAAATGTGTTTTGGGTTATGAGATCCCTTCGCAAAAGCCGATATCGATTGCTGTGGCCTCTTAGAGGTTTCAATCTAAGCTGATAAGGCAGATGAAAGAGGCACCTGACGTTCTTGGTTGCCTTCTTTGAGGAGTCTCGAGAGCTACGAGATCCTGTTTCTGCCACGGCTGCCACGCTCGTATAACATACTCCAGCTGCGATCACACGTAGGCGTTAAGCTTTTGGGAAAATATTGAGGGGGAAAACCGACCGAAGACTCTGCGAATAAGACCGAAGTGTTGATTGCCGGTTCTGCTCGCCTTCTCTGCTTGTTTTGAACATCTGAGATCTTTCTGTACCAATAGACCCAGGTCACGCTCCTGAGCAACCTTCTCCAAGGTGTGGTCTCCAAGCATGTAAGCGCTCACTGGCTGGTGATGCAGATGTATCACCTTGCACTTAGCTGTGTTCAGTTGAAGCAAGTTCCTCTTTGACTATTTATAAATGCAATCTAGGTCATGTTGGATAAGATCGTGATCTTCATTGTTGCTAACCGCCCACCATATCTTGGCGTCATCTGCGAAAAGCAGGAAATTTGAGGAGATAACACTTGTCAGGTCGTTGATAAACACCAAGAATAAGCGCGGTCCCAGCACTGAGCCTTGTGGAACACCACATTCCACCTCAGTCGGGTTAGAGAATGATCCGCTAAAGCGTAACTGAAGCTTCCGTTGGCAAGGGAAGCTGCCAATCCAATTAAGTACGGGATCTCCGATTCCGTAACTCTGTAGCCGTTGAAGTAGGATGCGGTGATCAAGGCGGTCGAAAGCATTGGAGAAGTCAAATCCGACCCTATCATCAGCCACCTCCGTCCAACAACCTCGTGCGACCAGTAGGTTGTTGGTGCATGACCGTTGTTGACGGAAGCCATGCTGCTACGGTGCCAAGATGCTGTATTATTCCAGGTAGTTCATTAGAGCCTCAGCGACGACCGCTTCCATCACCTTGGCGAGCACAGGGAGGAGAGTCATTGGGCTAGAGTTTGCAGGATCTGAACAGATACCGACTTTAAAAACTCGGGTGATAATACCATGCTTCCACATAGTGGGAACTTGTTGTTCATCAAAGCACCTTTGGAAGAACTGTGACAGTGGATCAGCTAGTTTGTTGACCGCAGTCTTCAGTGCCTTCGGGCTGATGCTGTCTGCTCCCGGAGAACTCTGACCGCGTAGTGAGAGTATTTTCCTAAGCACAATTGATAGGTTAAAAATTATATGTGTAAACAATGGAGTCGGTAATGTGCGTGACATTATGGAACAGCTAGAAGATACGAGTTTGAAAATTGGGGCGTATGGTTGCCGCAGGGCATTAGCTGCCTCTTCGGCGCTTTGTACTCTACCACCTGTCGTGAAAAGTGGTGAGATTCTATGCTTAACTTTGCGAAGATTATTGACATGCCTATTCAGCAGTTTGTTGTTTGTCATGAATATTTTGGCTAGGCACTGTTGATAAGTTACTTTGTCCTCATGGACAATTGCACTGCAATGGTTGCGATGCGTCAGGAAATTGCCCCAAGTCTCTGAATCGAGGTTTATCTGGTAGGCACTACATGCTGCATCCTTAATCGCCAAGCATTTTCGAGTCCTGCTCCTTAGAATTGTAGGCATTTTGCTAGACGTAGGGGTATGGTCTCTGATGATCTATTGACTATGTTGCTGAGTCTATTAACAAACTCTGTCCAAACGTTCTCAAGGGGACTGTTGTTTGAGAATTCCTAAGGGGCTGCGTGGACGAGTTCTTTCAATACGTGGTAGCGTGTGATTGTATTAGTTCCGAGTGTTCAACTGAATACTCTGCATAACACGCATAGTTGAACGTTATTATTACATGGTCACTGAGACCTAGCAGACTATCCATCAATAATTTATCAAACATGAGCTCTTCATTCGTAAGCATAAGGTCCACTACGGACGCTTTGTTTGCTGTGCTGAATCTAGTGGGCGTGGTGACTTGATTGTACAAGGGAATATTAACCATCAGGTCATGCAAGTCTGCTTTGAAACACTCACTGAGTGATACCGAAACCTTCAGATCATGTAGCTTGAAGTCCCTCGCGATGAGAATGGTGTGGTACGTACTGCGTGTTACTCTGTCTAGGCCACTTTTCAGCGGGAATCCATTTCCGGAGTGGACGTTGGGGCGGTTAACGACAGCTACGACACATGCGGGGTTATGTCTTAGTCGGAAACGGCACCAGAGTGAGTCAATAACGCGAGTTTCCAGACCATCAACCATTGCACATTGCAGGCCGCTGTGGAAGTAGAGTAGGACCCCACCTCCTATGCTGGGGTGATCGTTCCGGATGAGTAATATTCCGGCTATCTCAACCTCAGCATCAATCACCTCTTAGTGTAACCAAGTTTCGGTAATAGTAATTAGGTCCCAAGCATTCGCAACCTGACGTAGCCGAAGTTCGGTAAGTTTACTGAGCAGCCCTTGGGCGTTAGTGTACATACATGAAAGTTTCTCAGATTTAAGCAATGTTTCTGAGGTTGTGGAATTCCTTAGTGAACTTTCGCCGACCAGTGAGTGGCCGACGGCTAATCGTTTTTTGATGGTTGTAGGTTGAGTAGTGAAGATTTTTTGTCATGATTCTATAGAAAATAGTTAGCAAAATCGCTTTTAATGCATTTGTTTGCGTTAATCGTCAAAGCATAGGGAT